AAAAAAAAACAAAAATAAAATTATTTTAAAATAAATAAAATTAGTATTAGTATAAATGAACATGTAATTTTTAATATCATAAAATTTGTAACAAATATTTTTAAGACAAACATTTCAAGTATTTATATGATATTGAATAACTTATGATTATGCATTTACTTTAATTATATCCGATAAAGTATAAAAATATAAAAAAATATAAAATAATTCATAATGAATAAAGACTTACTCTGATTCCTTATAAGTAACTAAAGTTGATGATTGATTATATATTTCAAAAGTAGCAGTGAATTGTGACGGAACAACTTGTTGGTTTAATGGATTAAAAGTTTCTGTTTGCAAAAATAAATGAAAATAAATAAAAAAAAATATTTAAATATTGTAAATTAATTTGATAAACTCTTTTTTACTTACGCATCCTTGTTGAAAGTCCAAAATAGTTAAATTGATGTTTAGCTGATTTTACTGCAACTGACAAAACTCCACGTTTTAAAGAACCTCCAAGATCAGAATATTTAACTCGATCTAACCAAATAATTTGTCTCTATATAACCATAATGTAAAATATTATTTGTTTAAATAAAGTATTACTAATATAATTAGTGAGATGATAAATTCATTACCTGGTACGGTGAAAGAACGTACGTATTAGATTCTTCGCTCAAAACATCATTTAGCTTCTCACCAGCATGCCTATTAGCATTGTTAAATAAATCTGGATCAACAAGTCTTATTGCCGGGTATGTTGTGAAGGCTGGACTAAGATCATTTGCAGATGAACTATTAGCAGAAACTCGGAAATCAAATCCAACAGGCATGGTCAAAGAAGTTCCATCCGTAAAACTAGTATCAGGATCATAGTAAACAAAATTCATCAACGATGAATCACTGAGATTAGTTAATTTATCATTGCAAGAGGTAGTGGCGCCGGTAGCTACGAAAGGGTTAAAGAATATTTAACAAAATAATAAAATAAATAAGAAATCGAAAAAGAGTATTAAT